GGTTAGCAAACGTTTGCTAACCCTAGCTAGGCTGAATTTTTGCTAAATTCATTGATTTTCAGAAAAACCCTACACCAGAAAACCCTGGCAGGCCTTGACACAGATCCTTAACAGTGGAATTTCAATACCTGCCAGGGTTAGCAAACGTTTGCTAACCCTAGCTCACGCATTTATCATACATTCATGTTCTGGGGTTTGCGACTGGTGTCTCACATTTCTTTTCGCTCGTTCTGCTTGTTCGGCTTTTACAGAGAACGACAGTTTTCCTGCAAACCATGGCGCCCGCTGAAACAGTTTGAGCGAATTTGCTTATACTGTCCAGTTACTGCAAAGGGTTGCCTCACGGCTTAGTTCACCATACCTATATCCAGCTTGATGGCCAAATACCCCAGGATTTCACAAAAAAAACACTGGACCAACAGTCATGCCCATTTCTTTTGCTGGTTAAGAACCCTTATGTTCCGTAATGACATGAAAATGATGCTTGGTTCATTGACGGTTCGATCCTCATGTTCCATGTTTCAATTGTTTCAATCACGAAACATGATGTCCACTGATTGAATCACACAGAAATTGTTGAATTTTCATTGATGATCCCAGGGCTACCGCCCGAAGAGTGATCTAAAGTACCCTGGATGTAAGCAACATGTCCTGAAACCACGTTAGTGCTATTTGGGTGATGGTTTTCCACATGACCTGTCCACTTCTCATTGAGTTGGCCAAAGGCACCTTGCGCGGATACCACAAGCCAGCTGCATGCAGCTTCATGCCGGTGAGCGGTTTGAGATGTGTTCGAACAAACCATGGGGTAGTAGGTGAGGAATCATATCCTGATTTATTTTGATGCATGTGGAACTTCACCTTACACGCATTTGAATCCTACATGTCGACAATGCCAGATCCAGTGCTTCGGGGAGATGTGTAGAACAGGGGAAGGCCCACAGGGGCTTGAAGAACAAACAGCTGGAAATGTCAAATGGCTGGTGCCATGGGGTCATGAATTGCATGTGCAACCATGTTTCTAAGAAAAGATAGATTTGGACCCCGTCACGATTTCTCTAGCTATATATAGCTGCTGCTGCAGTCAACCAGCTGTTCTTTTCACTCTCACCACTTGAGATGGGGGCGGGGCGCACCACAGAGATATGGCAGTCTGTTTTCTTTGAAAGATAGTATGTTATACAATAGACTGTTTGATTCACATGATAGTACAAATATAAGATCACAAATTGGTTGGAAACAAGCGAAATATAGTATTTACCATGGTGGGTTTTCTGTTTTTATTAGAATGGATTTGGCTTTGTTTGTTCTCTGTGCAGAAGACTGGCCCTTGTGAACAAGGTTCAGCAGTGTCAAAAAAGCGAGCGAGTCAGCCAGAGCAGGCCACTCCGAGGGGGAGTCAGACTATCACCGCAGATGCCAAACACTTTTGGAACCGGAAGGGTGAGATTCCAAACATTTTTAGGGTTCATCTTACATCACGTGGTTTGGCAAACAAAAAGTGTATGTCGTATACCGACGTTGATAATTCACGAAGCCGCGGGTCCAGCCTCAGATGATGTCGCGCACCATGGTGGCGATCTCAGATACCGTTGCTAGGGAGATGATAAAAGGAATATGTTTTGGGAAATCGGTCTCGCAAGGTAGGGTTTAGGGTTAACAATCTCGCAGGGCAGGGTTTAGGATGGAGTTTCGGGTCAAAATTTCGCAAGGTCGGGATATGTCGTGATTAAAGTTAAGAATCTCGCACGGTAGGATCTAAAATCTCACAAGGTAAAGTTTAGGATCTCGCAAGGTAGAGTTTGGGGTTTAGTTCTCGCAAGGTAGGGTCTAGGGTTTAGGTCTCGCAAGGTAGAGTTTAGCGTTTAGGTCTCGCAAGGTAGAGTTTAGGGTTTAGGTCTCGCAAGGTAGAGTTTAGGGTTTAGGTCTCGCAAGGTAGAGTTTAGGGTTTAGGTCTCGCAAGGTAGAGTTTAGGGTTTAGGTCTCGCAAGGTAGAGGTTTAGGTCTCGCAAGGTAGTTTAGGTCTCGCAAGGTAGAGTTTAGGGTTTAAGTCTCGCAAGGTAGAGTTTAGGGTTAAGAATCTCGCAGGATAGGATTTCGGGTTTAGAATCTCGCAAGGTAAGGTTTAGGGTTAAAAATCTCGCAAGGTAAGGTTAGGGCTAAGAATCTCGCAAGGTAGGGTTTAGGGTTAAGAATATCGCGAGGTGTGGTTTCGAATTTAGAATCTGACAAGGTAGGGTTTAGGGTTAGGAATCTCGCAAGATTTAGGGCTAAGAATTTCGGAAGGTAGGCTTTAGGGCCAAGAATCTCGCAAAGTAAGGTTTCGGGTTTAGTTCTTGCAAGGTTGGGTTTAGGGTTTCCCTCTCGCAAGGTAGAGTTTGGGGTTTAGGTCTCGCAAGGTAGAATTTAAGGTTTAGGTCTCGCAAGGTAGAATCTAGGGTTTAGGTCTCGCAAGGGTTAGGTTTTGGGGTGTACATCTCGCAAGGTAGGCTTAGGGTTTAGGTTTCGCAAGGTAGAGTTTATCGTCAAGAATCGTAGGGCAAGGTTTAGGGGTTAAGAATCTCGCAAGGTAGGGTTTAGGGTGTAGGGCTCGCAAGGTAGAATTTAGAGTTAAGAATCTCGCAGGGGTAGGGTTTAGGCTTAAGAATCTCGCAGGGTAGGGTTTAGGGTTAAAAATATCGCAAGGTGTGGTTTCGAATTAAGAATCTCACAAGGTAGGGTTTAGGGTTAAGAATCTCGCAAGGTAGGGTTAGTGTTACGAATCTCGCAAGGTAGGGTTTAGGGATAAGAATCTCGCAAGGTAGGGTTTAGGGTTAAGAAGGTAAGGTTTAAGGTAGGGTTTAGGGTTAAGAATCTTAGCGACTATACTGCTACGGAAAAACGGGAAGGGCGCTAAAGAGGCGACTTTGCCTGGCAGTTCACCTATAGGTCAATCAACTATAAATTGTCTAGTTTCAATAGAAAAGGTAAGTCCCTAGTATAAATGGGGTCATCCCATAGCTTGGATATATCTATATATATATATTTTATTTAAATATGATTATTAACTGGTTGGTGGTTGAGCCACCCCTTTGAAAAATACAAAAGTCAGTTGGGAATGTCAATATATGGAAAAATATACTTCATGTTCCAAACCACTAGTCAGTTAACCACTTACTTTTTGTGTTTCTTTGAGCCCCCACCGAACTTTCCATACATTTTATCGTCCTCGTAAGCATCTTGAGACGCCATGTTCTCTCATGATGATTTCCGTCGAGCTGTGGGGACCTTGGTCAATGCTGAATTCATTGGTATCAATTGTGGTTCATTGTTAATATCCACCCCAGATTCCGGATTTTTAAATTCATGGTTATCAATTGTGGGCTTGGTATCTAGCGACACTGCAGCTTGGCCCTAGGGAATATATTCTGCCACTAGTGCCTCTTTGCTCCAACTTGCCAAGCAGGTCTGTTCTACAAAACCACTAAAAATTAAAACCACAGGAACCCTGCTCCATCAATTTGCATGCTCCTGAATGCTATTCAATTCCACAAATGTTCAGGAAGCCGGGATTCTGACCACTGCGTCTGAGAAACATAAGGCCATGGCACCGAACTCCAGGATTTGATTTTGTTTACTCTAGAGCTGGGAGCTGCCGCCGGGCTGGCAGGTTGTAACTAGGCGAGGTGCCAACATGAATTTCCCACCAAAATTGGGAATACGTAACAACGCTTCACTATTTGTGCTGCCCTGCCCCGCCTTTTACACTTAATAAAACTATTGGTCTATCTCGTTTCTGGATCGTTAAAGGCGAAGTCGCAACTTAAATTTCCCACCAAGACCGCGGGAGCTACCAAGACTGCATTTGTTCTGCTGTCCCGCCCCGCTGTTTAAACTTATATGGCTATCGGTCACTGTTGTTTCTGAAATCGACGAATTGTTTGTGGCATGCACTCTTCTGCAAGACATGAAACAAGATTGTGCTTCTGCAAAGCAAGCTGAGTTGAAGCAACAAAACCCAAAGATGTTGTGACATCAGTAGCAAATTAGCAAAAAATCTTCAGCGGCGCTTAGGAAGCTTGCTGTGTACCAGTGCACACGATGACGAATTGCCATGACTTCAGCCACGCTGAAAAGTGACATTCCAACAAAAAAGAGGTTCAAGCAACCGGTGGCCAAACATGTTCTTTCGAAGATAGTCCCGATGCCCCAACCACGCCTCTGCCACCAGCTCGGCGCAGCAGCAGCAGCTCTGCTGAAGAGCTGAAGCTTACCAGAATATGGAATAGGTGATCTGATTTATTGAATTATTTGACAGCACTATGTCATCAGGGGGGGGGCTACTAGCAAAAAACTAAAGCAGTAAAGTAGGGACCTAAGATTGGCAATTGAGTACTCAAGGTAGCCCACCCGAGCGGACGCAACTGGTTGTGTTGGCTCGAAGCAGCTTTCAAACCAAACACCAGTTCAAGCATACGTCGCTTCAAAAAGACCAGCTATGTGCAGGCGTTTTAAACAAAACTTGGACGCGCTCCAAACTCCAAAAAGTTTTCCTCAACGCTGGCCGCGAAGATATGCCGCACTCTCTGAGTGCAGGAGCGCCACTACTTTCTGCCACTCGCAGCACGCTAACGCTTTATTTTCTAAAGAATTGGGTACATTAATCAATTCTAGTTTTTACTCTCTCCTCACCCTTGGAGATTTTGCTATCTCCTCGCCCCAGCAAAAGCTTGACATCGCTGGCGGTTGCACGGCAACTTCACCATACATAACATCAAAGAAACTATGATCAAAAGGCAGGCTACATAAAAAAAGTTTAAAAGTTAGGTCTTGGACAAGTGAGTATATTTCAATCTGCATCAAAAACACTTGACTTAGGATTTTACATTATTTTACCTTAAATTCAATCCAATCACTTGGGGGTTGCTGTGGGTTGACAATCCACTTGGGGGTTGCTGTGGCTTAAGTTGGCTATCCCATCACCATCCCTGGGACGATCGCAACAACTCAGGGGGCCCGGCAGCCCCGTGATGATGACGATGATGGGTTGGATCTCAGGTCCCAAGGACCTCCGGGGGGCCGGGTTCCACCAAAGCCATGGGGGATCCCCAGTTGTCACCAGCGTTTCAATACTACGTTACTAAGCCATGGATGGTGACTGGGGGTTACCTCCATGACTTAGGAAACCTCCATTATGGTATGCTTACCATAAATGAATCATTCAACATACCCCGCTTTCCCGTCCCAATCTTATCTCATGAAATACAGTTGGTTGAAAACGTTTTCCTTACTGTGGAGCATCATAATTCCCCATAAGTTGGGTAGTACAAGTTCCATTTCATTAACCAATCAAGCAGGTGTTTTCAATGGATCAAACTGATAATCTTTAGGGTACGTATTGATGGAGTTCAACAAACATAAAATGCCATACATGGAGCACATAGACATTATAATTAGAGAGTAGACATGAGTAGATAAAAACAAAAAGACACACATGATCGAAACAATACAAGTTGGGATCTTGCAATCTTGCAACTCAAAACATGCGAAGTTCATCATCAAAAATCTAGATTTCAATGAAGTTAACATGAGTTAACCAATGACTTGAATAACTATTAGAATTTTGATAGATTTGGGGGTGCCTGAAATTTCATTGGCAAGGATTATAATCGAGATGAACGGTTCGGGAACAGGAAAAGAGTAGCACTTGAGCTTAAGACCCGGAGGTCGGGAGCTTATAACGATGTTTGAGTTGAATTTTTCGCCTAGCACTGCCATGCAAGGCCGGCGTCGCCATTAATCGTCTCGGCACTTGGCCATCCCAAATGTGCTTGCAGGGGGCACGAGGGCTTGCCTGGCCACTGCTCAGGGTTTGGGACATTTGGGCATGTCCAGAACTCGTGGCCGCAAGATGACACCACTTGGCAATGAGGGCAAGGCTCTGAACAGCCGGATCCCCTGGCATAGGATGCTCGGCTGACACATAAGCACCTGTCAGGATGGCAAAACTGTGCGAAGCATTTTCAGAAAGACGACGTGCAGCTTTACAACCCGTTTCACAATAAACAACATCAGCACAAATATCACTGTCGTTTCACTTGGCATTTTTACACTTTTCAAACGAAAGCCCTCACAAAAGCCCTCACGGAGGCAATGCTTCATCAAGGTTGTTGCGGGGTCAAATTCACAATGGGCAGCTTTAAGTCTAGCAACTTTATCCGTGATGGGTGCCAAATCCACGAGGCGATACGGTCCGCTGGAGTCCGCTCCGTTTGTTCAAGGAGGCACCAACGCCCAGCTTTGACCGAGTTGGCAAAGGCAATGTTTTGAGAAAACGATGCAGGTCCAGGCTCAACCCCAAACTTAGGACCTAAGTTTTTAGTTCCTATTGTTCATGTTTCATTGTTACCTTCAGATACAGATTTTTTCGGGTGCTTTTCATGGCGGTGGCTATTTTTAAGAGGGAACAATATTGAAAAAAGGCTGGATTTTTGTTCGGTATCCCCACCATGGGTTGGTTCGTTGGTCTTCGACTGAGTTCTAGGCCCACTGGTCAGTGCTCGAAAGAGTTCGCTGAAGGAACCTGCGATGGAAACGTCCGCAGAGTTTGCCATGAGAACTTGCCCTCATATAATGATTTACAATGCATATACCATGATATACCCATTAAAAATAGGTACACTATACAACTAATTACATGAATTATCCACAGCAAAGTGTTAAATTACCGAAGGGTATGGAACAAAATCATTCTAAGATGGTTGGAACGTCCCTGTGGAGCATACCCCAAGCACCTTTGAGACCGCAAGTGAAAGGAATCCTTTCATAAGCCCTCGTCAAATGGCATGGGATGGCCTGGGGTATTTTCATGTATTTTCCAGGGGGTTGTTGGATTGATCGAAGTATGGATTCAAATCTGTACAGTGATTTCACAGTTTGCTAAGTTAACCAAATCCGCATCAAACTAGTGTAATAAGCTAAATCATCCAACTAAGTCAGGCCATGGCTTCCATCGCTCAAAGCTCCGCAAGGCGAAATTTATACAGCGCGCCTTGGGAAATCTCCGGAAAGACTGTGTCAAAGGCATACCTCTCTGCAAAGCCGCTGGGCAAAATGGCGTTCAGTCCGATTTTCAAAGCCCCAGGCTGAAGATGCTGAAGAATGCCTCTCAATTTTCTCACGTTTTCACAGAATCTTTTTTTTTTGAGTCCCAGCATGTCCCAGCCACAAAATAAATCATAAAATAGTATGCTCTCTGGATCAGCAAGAATCTTTAAAAATCACAACCGAATATTAGTAAAGCAGTGTCATAAACCAGCCCCAATTTTACTATAAATGGGCGGGATTCCAAGCATCAATTCACACGGCTTCTCAACTGCAGTTTTTCCCAACTGACCCGTGAAAATCGCGAAAAGAAAACACAGGATGCCTCTGGTAATTCAACATTATAGTTGTTGACAAGCACATTTTTTAATCGGTACAGTAAATCTGTGCTAGTGGTAACCGGAGGGTATCAGTTCAAAAAAAAGACCCTGCGCTAACATTCCCAATTGATCGATGACTTTCCCAGTTCAAATCTAGAACCTCCGGGGAGTTTCCATTGCTACGTTTGATTACCGGAGGGTATCTCCTCACTCTGTACAAGGTGGTGCCTCATAGTTAGCTAAGTTGGTGAACATAACTTTACAACTTTAAAACTCCAATTTCACTATGGTTTATGGTAGGTAATTATATCGAACTACTATTCCTATGGTTTTTCTTAACCAACGTTCACATCTGCCTGGGGGGGGCACAACCGAGGGATCAGCGTCACCATTGAAAGCCATGATGGCCAAAAAAGGTGTGCAGCAGGCATTTTGAGATGACAAAACCTGGCTATATCAGATTCTTGGTTTATATCATACAATCATATAATATGTACACACATATCCAATATATCATACAGTTATATCCAATGCTACAATGTTTATCATACACTACTAATATATCCAATTGTATATCATATTGTATATCATATTGTATATCATACAATTATATCATACAGTTTATATCCAATGAAAGTCTCCATTCTGTACACAACTTGCGCAATTCCAGGCGGCCCCTTTTTTTTTGCATCCCTTCTCCCAGTTTTCAGGTCACAGGAGGATCGTCCAATAAAAGTATGCAATGGTAAAGAAGAGCACCACGATGAAACAGTAGAAGGCCCTGCAGATGTCACGTGACTGTTGTTTGGATGACGAGTCGATGTGTTTTTTTGGTAGTGGAACAGTTATAGAAACTTAAGTATGGAATACACGTTTGGAAAAACATACTCCAAAAAAAAACGAGACTCATCATAGTACATAATAAATGTATATCAATGTACCTTTAAATATATCTTAATATTGCAAGTGACTATCGGAATGCAGTCACTGGTCATGCCATCGTCCCGCTTGGCTTGGCTTTAGAATTTCCCACTTCGATTCTGATCATCCCGGACCGGATTTTTTTCGAAAACTGCGAGAGAGAACTGAGAGAACCATTACCAACCATTCTTAACCATTATTAACCATTATTAACCATTATTAACCCATATTAAACACTACTAACCATTATTAACCAATAATAAGCCCTGAACAGAACTGAGAACCATGTTAGAACTGGTGCCCATGAAACGGGACAGGTCCCCAGGTCCACGTTCGGTGGTGCCCCAGGTCGAAATCGCGTTCAGTTGGGGGCCACATAACTTCAATTTCATGAAATGGTTTATGGTAGATATACCCTTTGGTTATTTAAGACAGCCATGGAAAATCATCACTTTTAATAGGTACATCATCTGTTTCTATGGTTCATGGTTTCCAGTTCGCTATGTTAAATAACCAAAGGGTACTTGGTGGCTCATCCCACGGCTCGTAGGTTGTTATAACCCCAATGATTTACATGGGATAAGTAGCGGGTTAATCCACTTATAATTGGGGTGAACTAAGCCACTTACGATTCGTGGGATGAGCCACCAAGTATCTATACCATTCATATGATTCATAAACCAACGTTCACATAACGGTGTCCAGGTCCAGAAAGTCCAACAGGTCCAGCTGACTGCACCTCTGATTTCCCAAGCCGACGCCTTAGACGAAGTTGTCACGGAGAAAACGTTGGCTTGTTTGACGGAACCGCGACATGTTGCTTGAGAAAAGTCCAAGAAATGTGTTGGGCGAATGATTCGTATCTAATATCATATTAAAATAGTTAATGGAATATACATATATATATATATATCATATGTTGGTTTTATTCCATAATATAATATATCATATATTATAGTTCATGGACATTATAAACGAACAAACACAATTGGGGGACCACCTTTTAGGCTAAGGCGAAACGGGTGATTTTCAGAAGTGGGACACCAATTATATGATATTATATGGTTTTTGGAAGAAACCCCCATTGGAAAATGGGTCCGTTGGGACACCATTATATCAAATCAAAAATGTTGTTTTTCCCCACCTGCCAGGTGAGGGTTGTTAGATTTTATGTCAGTTGCTTCCTCCTCGTCCTCCTCCTCCTCGTCCTCCTCCTCCTCCTCGTCCTCCTCCTTCTCGTCCTCCTTCTCCTCCTCCTCCTGCTCCACTGCGATCCATGTCAGTGTGTCCTGCCGGACCTCAACCACGACCATCCACGTTCAGTGTGCCCTGCCGGACCTCAACCACGACCATCACCGCCCAGTGTTCCCTGCCGGACCTCAACCGCGAGTATCCCCGCCCAGTGTTCCCTGCCGGACCTCAACCACGACCATCCCCGCCCAGTGTTCCCTGCCGGACCTCAACCACGACCATCCACGCCCAGTGTTCCCTGCCGGACCTCAACCGCGAGTATCCAAGCCAAGTGTTCCCTGCCGGACCTCATGTAGGAAGATAAAATGTCAGATAGAGTGCCAGAAGATTTGCCAGGTAGAATGCCAGAAAATATGCCAGAAGATATGCCAGATAGATATGCCAGAAGATATTCCAGAAGATATGCCAGATAGAATTCCAGATAGAATGCCAGATAGAATGCCAGAAGATATGTCAGAATATATGCCAGAAGATATGCCAGATAGAATGCTAGAAGATATGTCAGATAGAATGCCAGAAGATATGCCAGATAGAATGCCAGAAGATTTGCCAGATAGAATGCCAGAAGATATGCCAGAAGATATGCCAGATAGAATGCCAAATAGAATGTCAGAAGATATGCCAGATAGAATGCCAGATTAAATGCCAGAAGATATGTCAGATAGAGTGCCAGAAGATATGCCA